TGCCCATGCTCTAACAATTACGTTTTCTCACAACCAAAACTGAGAAACAAATGGCAGATTCAGGAATACAACTGAGCGAGAGAGTAGTGGAGATTAGGGCCTTAGGGGTGTTCATTCAGATATATCCGATCTGATCCGCTATTTTGGATATCCAAAATTTTTGGATTGATGAATATCTATTCCATGTCCGATCCTAAAATTACAGGATACCCGAATTGGATATCCGAAATTTCAAATCGCAGCAATGAAATATCCGAAAAAATTATATTTAATTTTTTTTTTGAATTTTTATTTTTTCCAATCATTATGAAAAAGTATTTAGAATGATTTTTTATTTGTTAAAATAGTAGAGGTCATAAATTAGACTTAAATTTGAAGTCAACTCTATTTTAAGTGTCATAGTTACCTTGATAGTATTATCATAAATCATAATTTTATAAATGTATGAAAAAAGAATATCAACATAATGGACAAATAAAACATAGACAAAAAGACTAAAGTAAAAAACTTGAATTAAGCTTAGATTTAAATATATATGATGATGAAAATGAATTGGGATTAAGTTGTCTAAGCTTTATTTTTACAGCCCTGTTCGAGTGACACCGGAGAATGGTGCCACTCCGGTGCCACTGCGTTTTTGAGACACCTCCGGTGCTCCGCTCATAAAATTAATGGTTCATATCCCCCTAACCCTTCCCCTAAACCCCCCATCCTACCCCACCCCTGCACCCCCATCCCAACCCCGCCGTAAGCCCCCCACAAAACGTGTGGCTATTATGCAATGCATAATAGCCACACATTTTGTGAGGGGCTTACAGCGGGGTTTTATACTTAATTTTTTTAATATGAATTTCGAATATTCACGGATATCCAAAATCTTAATATGTCATTCCATATCCGATCCGAATTATTTCGGATGTCTAATCCATTTTTAATATCCAATTTTCAGATCGGATCAACCCGGATCGTGAACGGATATTTCGGATCGGATACTGCACCCCCAAAAATTGTTACGCTAAAATCATAGGAATGGTTCAACTTTGTATCCTACAAATTAGAACCCGGCATCTTTTTTTTTTAACTTATGTTTTTCATTTCATTATTTAGATTATGATTATTTGAATTTATTATACTTAAATCTAACATGGTATGACATTGGAAATCTACTGCGAGTCGTTTAAAAAACACCGAAGGAAACATTTTTGAACCAAGCATGATGTGGACTTGATTAGTGTTCTAAAATGGTAATGAAATGCAGGGATATAGAGCAACAATAAAGGCTTACATAGCAAACAATTAGGACTTCTGAACACTCAAAAAAATTAGGACATCAGAAGAAACTGAGAACCAGTTATTTTGCAGGTAGATTAGCATAAAAATTGTAATTAAAATACAAGAACAAATAAAAAAGAAGAAAAAACATTCAAATTTCTCCTCGATATCCGCCAGAGCCAAAGTAATCCCTCCTTTGATTGGCGATTTGCTGGCTTTTTTGATGTTCAAGTTTGGGGCAATCGTGAATACGATGACCAAGACCACCGCAGTTGGCACAGCCTTTGATCCCACTTACAGACCTGTCCGGATCATCAACTTCCCCGGGAGTTTCAAGTTCAGCAAGAACGGGAGGAATCCTTTGCTTAGCTTCTTGCAGCAGGTGTTTGAGATCAAGAAGGGTTGTTGGGCTCTGAGTTTTGTTGATGAATGTCGTGGCGATTCCTGTTTTGCCACACCTGCCTGTACGCCCAATCCTATGAACATAGTTCTCAATTTCAGCAGGCATATCATAGTTTATCACATGCTGGATGTCAGGAAAATCCAACCCTTTGGACGCCACATCAGTTGCAACCAATACATCCTTCTTCCCAGATTTGAATGACGAAATGGCATACTCCCTCTCTTCTTGGTCCTTCCCACCATGAATAGAAACAGCTTCCACACCTTTCAAAAGCAGATACTCATGTATGTCATCCACGTCAGCTTTGTTCTCACAAAAGATTAAAACCGGAGGTGGTGTTTTCTGCAAACAATGAAGAAGGTATACCAGCTTTGCCTCCTGCTTTACATATTCTACTTCTTGGATGACATCTAAGTTAGCTGCCCCGGCTCTTCCAACATTCACAGTTACGGGTTTAACCAATGCACTTCTTGCAAAGTTTTGGATCTTTGTGGGCATTGTGGCAGAAAAAAGTAGAGTTTGCCTTTGTGCTTTAAAATGATCAAAAACTTCCCTGATGTCATCTTCAAAGCCAAGGTCTACTAATCTGTCTGCTTCGTCTAATGTTAAGTATCTACATGTAAGGCAAGCATAATATTATAAGTGAATGTAATGTCCAAACTCACAGGACATCAATAAATAGCTTAGGCATGACAAAATTTGCAACCAAGATACGTGTAGGCTATTCCTACTAGGTTGACCTGGAATCTAATTAAATTGTGTTTGTGGTAAAAGTAGTTAAGGCAAATGATATTTCATAAAAGTAACATAAAAGAGAAAAAAGGAGAGTAAACAGTCATTTTGTCTAAAATAATTGGAATAGATGGGGAGGTAGATAAAATAAATTTTCAGCCGCCCAGTGTAATTTATTAAGTTTCAGGTAGCTGAAATTTATTTTATCAAACACATCTACCTTCAACACAACAACAACAACAACAACAACAATCCAGTTGAATCCCACAACAGTAGGGTCTGGGGAGGGTGTGCACGCAGACCTTGCCCCTACTCGAAAGTAGGGAGGCTGTTTCCAAGAGACCCGCGGCTCCACCTGCACAAAAATATGGAAGGGAACACAGTATAGCACAGATAAAGCATCAAGTACAAGCAACAAGTACAAGCAATAGCACAAGATTCCAAACAAATACAACACACTACAAAACAACCTCTACAACACCGAGCTCCTATCCAGCTACTCTAATCCTAGTTTTCCAAAGATTCCTATCTAGGGTCATATCCTCAGTCAGGTCGAGAAGTCTTAAATCCTGCCTAATCACCTCCTTCCAATTCTTCCTAGGTCTACCCCTTCCCCTACTTCCCCCGATAACCGTAATCCTCTCGCATCTCCGTACAGGGGCATCAGCATCCTGCCGTCTCACATGGCCAAACCATCTCAACCTCGCTTCCCGCAACTTATCTTCCACCGGTGCCATGCCTACCTGACGTTGGATAACTTTGTTCAAAATCCTATCCAACCTTGTCTTCCCACACATCCATCGAAACATCCGCATCTCCGCCGCATGCAGACGACGCACATGAATCTTCTTAACAGCCCAACACTCTGCCCCATATAACATAGCAGGCTGACTACGGATCGATAGAACTTACCTTTCATTCTAGGCGAAATCTTCGGATCACACAACACCCCTGAAGCTAACCGCCATTTGGCCCAAGCCACTCCAACACGGTGTCCAACATCCGCATCTAACTCCCCATCAGCCTGGATTACCGAGCCAAGATATCGAAACCTGTCTACCTTAAGTACTAGGTGAAAGTCAATCCTGACTTCCACCTCTGATTCCGTATCCCGGCCGCTGAAACGACATTCCATGTATTCAGTCTTGTTCCTACTTATTCTGAATCCTTTAGTCTCAAGGGCAAGGCGCCATAAGTCCAACTTATCGTTTAGTCCCTCACGCGTGTCGTCGATAAGCACAATATCATAAGCACATCTACCTTCAAATGAGCTGAAAGTTTCAGTCATATAAATTATTTTTGGTCAAATGGGCAACCATTTGAATCCCAAACATTACGCTTTAGTTTCAATACTATTATTATTAATAGTGTTCAATTTTAGCCTATAATACTAATGTCATTAACTCCTCGTTGTAATATGTTGGGAGCACTCTAATTCAGTATTTGCCAGAATCTTGGAGGACCAGTATAAATATGGCGTCTCTATTCCTTAATAATAGAGTAAATTCCATAATATGTCCTTTATAATAGAAGAATTTCCCTATTTAGTCCTATTATCAAATATTACCCCGGTGGTCCTTTTATGGGTATCTTTCCACATATAAGCTTTTTTTGATCTTCTATCATGTTGGTGTTAATTTGAGGGCTAAAAGTATAATTTCATACTGATAATACATCTTTCTTGTCATACATAATTCCAAAGGCCACTCCTGATATGTTGTTTGTGAAACAATCGCTTTCTAATACAACTATAGTGTAGAAATGTGGTCTTTCGTCGGAATCCTAGCCCACAATCATAGTCATTATTTTTTTTTGTTATCCATGTAACCAATATCAGAATACGTCACTGGGCATGAGGTAAATGTTAAATTATACTGTTAGCCTTTAAATTAAGACCAACATCGCAAAAGATCAAAAAAAGGACCATTTGTGGAAAGACACCCATAAAAGGATTACGGAGATAATATATGATAATAGAGGACTAAATATGGAAATCTCCCTATTATAAAAGACTAATTATGGAATTTACTCTTAATAATATTTGAGCTTAGCATAAAATTTCCCTAAGCCAAAGCAAAAAAGAATATAGCCCCTCCACCCTTTAAAAAAAAGTTCTTGTTTACTATTCAATGGGTGAAGGCCGTGAAGCGTTGACCTCTTTCTTTACAAAATTTCACTACTTATTTGATGAAATAATGCAGCCTTATCGCCTCTTGTTTTGTAGAACTTTTGATGTACTTTCTAAAAATACGAATTTTATTTTTTAATTCTACACCAATGTTCAAATTGAGTTGAAAGTAACTTCAATCAAACATTGCCACATGAACTTTGTTTAGGGATGCCTTGATGGAGGGATTAGCTTTCGTTCCATTCTTAATCTTCTTCACATCACAACCACGCCTGTAACATAGCAGTAAATTTAATGTTCGAAATGGCGTAGTGCGGTTATGAGGCGTCCCTTTTCCCAAGGCTTGGTGTAAGCCTCGAGGTGTACCGAGGCATAAGCCTCATTTCAAAGTACCAAGGCGTGCATAAAATATTACTCTCTGTCCAAGTAGGTTCTTTCAATTTTGACTTGGCGCGGTTTTTAATGGAAAATATTAAATGTATCTTATGCTAGATGTTGGGAAGGGTTGACAACAGAGTATAGAAAAATTGAAAAAACAGATCTAAGAGACAGATGTAATTCTCCATTGATAGGAAGCTCTAAAATTGAAGAAACAGATGGACACAAGACTTTGAGAAGGGACAACCATGAAGTATAAAAAAACTTGAAAAACACACAACAGATATAATACTCTTCAGTAGCAACCCATTGATGGCAGCTCTAAAAACTTTTAAAAAGTAAGAATAAATCACTCATTATTGATCTTAACCCATCTACGGAAGCTCCAGATTCTTCGACATATGGAGTCCAGGTTTCGACTAGTCGCTATTCAAAAAGGAAAATCCAAGCTGAAATGGCATTTTATGAGTGACCAAACAAGGGAGAAAATGGAAGAAGGGTATATTAGTCTTCCTGATATAATTTATTTGCCAAATATGAAAATGGGAAGAAAGACATGGGACGGAAAAAGTATTAGACTTAGAGATAGAACATTATTAATAACATACTAATCCATGCACATTAAAGAAGCTTTTTTTTAGACTTAAATATTTCAAATGCAACAAAGTCTACCATGACATACTAAAAAACATTGTTTAAGGCAATAGACTTAATTGGCAATAGACTCTAAAGGCTTACAATTAGGATCAAAGTATGTTGCATTTCCTTCATCTTTTCTGACATTTAAGAAATCTCTTTTAATAAGAAATAAAACCAAAAGTTTATGAACATAAAATTTTCAATTTTTAATGGAAAATTAGTAACAATAAAAATGTAAAGAAATAAATTAATAGAAAATTAGTAAGAACAAAATGTTATTATAAATGGGTAAAAAAATAAAAGAATAAGGGGTGGTGCAAGAGGAAGCAATAAAGCCAAAAGAAACAAACATTAAAGTTTTAACCTGGGTCTTGGGTCCAAGGTTTTGAAAGGCGAAAACTAGCCTTGAGGCGGTGGAGCAAAAATCCCTTGAGGCGTAAGCCTCGAGGCGGAATGAGGCGTAAGCCTCAGTTCAATATGAAAAAAATAATACTAAAATATGTACACCGAGGAAAAACGAAATGCATAATCAATTTTCATGTTAAATAAATGATAAAATCATAATTCCTCAATTTTACAAAAATGATACCCTATCTTAATTTTTAAAACAAAAACATAGAATTATAAAGATTAAACACAATAACATGAACACAAATGTCTCAAACCCATCTTCAAACCTTATAAATATTAAATATGGACAAAAGTTCATGCAAAAAAAAGTTACATCATTCTTTGAAGTTTGAACCAAATTTAAAAGAGGGAGAGGGATGTTGGAAAAGAAGGAACTGAAAAAATTAAAAGTTGAAAGAAGAAGATGAAAGAAATAGAAGATAAGCTATTAAATATGAAGTAATTACCTTAGCAGCTACCACAAGAGTGAAGTTATGCAACTGAAGTCTGAAGATGGAGAGAAGTACGGTTGATGATGGAGAGACGAAAGTTGACGCTAATGTCTTTGAAAGAAGTGTTAATTATTTACTAGGTTTATTAAGTTTTTCTTAAGAAACTATAGAGTGCATTGGCCCAAAAGAGTTTTTGTAAAAGAGGCACAATAGCTTTTTAACAATAACCCTTATTATTGTTGATATTCTTATTAAAAGTGAGGCTTACGCCTCGGTTACGCCTTACCGCCTCGGACCGCCTCAACATTGTGAGGCACACACCTTAGGTATCCCTTCCCTACTGAGGCTTCTAGGGGTGAGCACATTCCGGTAAACCGACCGAACTGTACCGAAACCGAAAATTTTGGTACGTACCAAAACCGAACCAAATAATTTGATTCGGTATTCGGTTTTAGGTTTTTATGGAATTCGGTTTCTGTTCTGTAAATTTTTTTGGGTCGGTATTTCGGTAAAAACCGATTACCGAAATAATTTAAGAATATTGTATACGTCTACGGTGTCTACCCAACCCACTAACAATATCCCGCCCAATATTAAAAAAATTAGTATCCAGCCCACTTCTAAACTAAGCCTCACTATCTAGGTTTCCTTTTCTTCGATCATTTATTCAATTCGATGGAATTAGCCGGCCGCGACTAAGGATGTCTCTTCACTGAATTCAGCCGGCAGTTCGAATTGAATTTCCGCTGCCTTCTTCATCGTGCTGCCTTCTTCATCCGATCGATCGCGCAGCCTTTTTCACCCCCTAATTGGTTTGTTGCATCCGATTTCCCTAATTTGCTTTTGTTTGTGATTTTTTCAGTTTTTTGTCTATGTGTTCACAGTTCTTATACAAAACCGATATGTTCACAGTTTTTTTATTTATGATTTTTTCATTTTTTTCAGTTTTTGGTAAAACCATTTACCAAATCGATTTATTTCGGTTTGGACCGAAGCGACTAATTTAATTTCGGTTCGGTATTCGGTACAAAAAATTAATAACCGAATTTTCGGTTTACCGAAATTTCAGTTCGGTTCGGTACGGTTTTACCGAATGAACACCCCTTGAGGCTTCAGAGGAAAAATGCAACCGCCACACCGCCTCGAGGCGGACCGCCTCGGTCGCCTTTTAAAACCATGCCTGGGTCAATAAAAGGAAACGGTACTCTACATTGATAAGAAAGCAAGGGGTTACCGCAAAGATGAAGACCGATGAACAAAGATGGTGCAGAGAGGGATGAAGTCATAAAGATGAAGACCCACTAGCAGTGAGGAAGGCCGAAGAGGATACCAGAGACGGGTTGAAAGACTAAGGTTTAGATTTGGTGATTTAACTTTTGATTTTTTTAATAAAATGACAAATTTAACCTTAATTTTAATTCTCTTTTTTTGTGGGAAAATGTCTTACGCTTTTTACCACCTCACTGCATACGCGCCATAGCTGAGGAAAGCATATAGCCAATGGCAAGATTGCCTCAAGGCTTTTTTCTAAAGAAATAGACATCAATATGGCAGGTTACACAATTCGCCAATGCCATTTTAAACATTGAGCAAATTGTTAGAGAAGTGATGAAGAATGAATGGAAAATCAAAGATAAGGACATCATGAAATCTAAACTACAATCAAGAATATATTAAGTGGGAAATCATTTTATGAAACAAGACATGCAAATGAAGGTTCATGTTTGAAAATTCATTACTTCCGCCATTCCTTTTTAAGGAACTATTATGACTCTCTTAAAAACTGGATAATGATTAAATGTAGACATAAAGTACGTTTTTCAATATTGAAAATTCATTACTTCCGCCATTCCTATTGAAAATTCATTTATTTTCAATATATCAAGAAAGTCAAAATGGTATGTTAAAAGGGATTGGAGGGTGTAGTTATAAACTAAGAAAATTTAACTGCTACTCCCGAAGCACTTTATTGAACATATTAGTCAGGCTAATATGTTCAATCATGTAGCATAGCTTCCAAAGATTCAAGCCATAGTAATCCTACAACGAAAGAAACAAGGTATTGTTACCTGCAATTGTCAAGGTTCATTTTCTTTTTAGCAAGCATGTCTTTGAGCCTTCCAGGTGTGGCAACCACAATATGAACTCCTTTCCTTACTACATCTAGCTGGGACTTCATGTCAACTCCTCCAATGCATAATAGAGGTCTTACCTCAGGGTACCCAACCTCCCTTAGAGGCTCTAGAAACTGTTCTATGACTTCATATGTTTGTCGAGCTAGCTCTCTTGAAGGGCAAATGATTAATCCAAAAGGCCCTTCTCCCGGCACAATAGGCATCATTATCTCCTCCTGTAAGGCTGCCATGATAAGTGGTAAAACAAAAACCAGCGTCTTCCCAGATCCTGTAAATGCAATTCCAATCATATCTCTTCCACACAAGATAACAGGCAATCCTTGTACCTGGATTGGAGTTGGTTGAATAATGCCCTTAGCTTTAAGCTTGTCCAGAATCGGTTCAGGAAACCTCATATCCTTAAAATTTTTAATGGGTGGAGGGATGTCATCTCCCTCCACAATAATATGCCACTGTTTACGAATGGTCTCACGGGCTTTTTTTGACATCTTTCTGATGTCTAATGGTGGCTTCCAGCCAGTGAACATAGGATCTGTATATGTAATCCCTTTAGCAAGTTCACGCACTGACATCAAAGTCTTTCTATCAGAGAGATGCTCAATCATTTCTTTCTCTTGCTGAACCATTTGCTCAGTCACACTGACTTCTGGCATTTCCTTCTTCAGTTGAGTAGCCTTTACAAGCAAACTTGGTTTTGCTTCAACTTGTTTCGTCTTTTCAGTTTCCTCTTCCAGCCCTGAAGATTTCCCCTTGCGCTGGAGAATCTTGTGTGCCTCAAGTGCCCTTCGCTTCGACACGGGAATATACTCAACATAATCATCATCCTCCATCTCCTGGAAACATTAAAAAACAAATATATAAAAACTAAATAAATTGTCAATATGAGAATCCGTTCATAAAACATCTTTGTAAATAACAAATGATAATCATCAGGTTTAAAGCTTTTGAAAGCATGTGTTGGTAAATTTAGAACATCAAATGATCAAAAATCTAAATCTAGTATTAGAGTCCCTTCGTTCTCTTCATCAGCACAACCTTGTTTGAGAATACAAAATTTTGAAAAGAAAAACAAGATAAATCAGAAAATACTTCAAAAAATTGATCAGTTTGACAACAAACTTCTTAAAGAAATTCTGCGAATAATTTTTTTTATGAATTTCAAAATTATCTAAGGATAGCTTACCATGTTCATAAGGGAGGCCATTGCAGAAATAACAAGCTGCAGCAATTCACGGTGCAATAAAGTCCCTGGACACTTGAAGTATTAGTGTATATGCCCACATGCTTCCATACAAAATAATGATAACGGACAAGCCGAAACTGCTATTTTGAAAAAGCGAAGAGACAAAACACTGGGGAAACACCAAATTTGTGTGTGTGTGTGTCTATATATACTAGTCATTACAAAACATATTAAAGCATAAATAAGTACAAAAGAAAGCATAAAATTGCTGTTTTAGCATATAAAGAGCATAAAAACTTGACATTTTTAACTGTATTTTTTAAATGAACAAACATACTGATTTTCTACAACTAAAATTTGAAGAAAAAGTATATGAAATTCACAAAAAAATGTTCTTCATAGTCCATAAAATCCCAGAATCATACCTTTGAGATTTTCAAGTTGAGATGTCACTTGACCTACAGGTTGATTATTTGGCGAGATGTCTTCTCACTTTGTCGGCCATTACTTGGTGATTCTTCTCCGAACCAGCGGCGTCAGCTTCTTCTCTCAACTCTTAGGCTATGTTTGGTTGGAGGTAGGTAAAAGTTTTAATAGGTAGGTAATGGTAGGTAATTGAAGGTAGGTAAAGTAAGTTAATGAGTTAAAAAATCGTGTTTGTATGTTTATTAGGTAACGTAAGGTAAGGAAAGAATAAAATTACTAAAATATCCTTGTGGTTGTTTGTCTTTATTTGTTTAGGATGTATTTATATGAAACTTACCTTTCACATTATATTATTACTAGTTTTTACCCCGTGCTTTGCACGGGCTTTTATAATCGTACGTAAAATATATATACAAAATTATTTTTACATCAATTGTAAACATTTTTTTAATTAATTTATTAGAATTTATTTAAATTTTAAATGTAAAACTTTAAAATTAAATAAATAATCTAGGACGAAACTTCCAAGTAACATCAATTTATATAAGTGAAACTAATCAAAATTTAGCATAATTTACGTTAATATGTAGGAACTCAAATCACTAGCACCTACAAGTCCAGATAATTGCAAAAAAACAGAGTACAATAACAAAACTGCAGAAAACGAAGTACGATAACTAGAATTACAAAAAAAAAGAGTACTCAAAATTACACAATTGTAGAAAAAACAGAAAAAAATTACCAGAAACCCAACCATCTTCTGCAACTCTATCTAGTAGTTTTGACATATTAGAACAAACACCAGCTGGGTATTGACATATTAGACATATTAGAACAAACTCCAACTCTGAGGGATGACTATAATAATCATAACCAAAGCCTATTCACAATCCACAGCTGGGTATTCATCATCCAAGAACATCAAGAGCAACAAACACTTCGGTTATTTCATAATCTCTTTCAAAGCAGCCGGATTAACTACGTAAAGAATCTCAATTCATCTGATAAATAAAAATTATGCTGCTTTATAAAACAGAAATTTAAGCAGATCCCAAACAAACAAACAAACAAAACGAAAGAGGAGGAGAGAAGCATACCGTCCTGGATTTGGGCAGAAGCAAAGGAAGCACAGGAAAAGAACAGAAAAAACCATTTAAAAAACAGGAAAAAAAAGAGAAACGAAAATTGAAAACTTGAAATTGAAAATTGAAAAAAAGTGAAAATTCAAGTAAGCAGAGCAGAGCAGAACGAAATCTGGAAATTGAAAAAAAAAGTGAAAATTGAAATGAAAAAAAAAAAGTGAACGAAATAAAAAGTGAAAATTGAAACAAAAAAGCAGCGAAGGGGAAGATTATCGAAATACTAAGTAGATGGCGATCGGAATACCTGTCTTGGAGATGGCGATCGTAAGCGCGATGTGAAGATGGCGATTGATTTTCGATCCGGTGAAGATGGCGATCGGGTGAAGGGTAGCCGCGGATAATATCTTTTATTAAGTAAATTTTGTTAGAAGGTAGAATATTATCTTCCCAGTTCGCAAAACGAGAGAAAAATCTCAAAATTTTCAATCTATTTTATTTAAATATTGGTATACAAATAAAAAATAAAACATACATATTTAAAAACTACACCAAAAGTTCAACAAAATAAGTGGTGACAAGAATATTTTATTTTATCATATAGGCCATGAAAAAACACAAATAAATATAAATTCCCGTGAAGTTGGAATAGTGCTCTGGGAATATCATTATAGGACGGAGGGAGTAATATTAAATCTATCTCCTTCTACTTATTCCTAGTTAGTGCCTATCTTGACCTATCTAAATTTTTGTTACCAAACAACAAACAATATTAAATCTACCTCCCTCTATCTCCTCCTACATCCAAACAAACACAACATTAGTTGATTGTCTGCGTGAATTAGGAGACCGGCTGACTTTGCGCAAGTTTTCACGGTAGAGGAACGTTTGGGGGATTTGGGGCCGTGGATAATGCTAAAATACTAAGGGTATGTTTGGTTGGAGGTAGGTAAAAGTTTTATTAGATAGATAATGGCAGGTAATTGAAGATAGGTAAATAAAGGTAGGTAAAGTAAGATAAAGTTTTGACAAATTGTGTTTAAATGTTTATTAGGAAACGTGAGATAAGGAAAGAAAAAAATTACTAAAATATCCTTGTGGTTGTTTTTCTTTATTTGTTTAGGATGTATTTATATAAAATTACCTTTCAGATTATATTCTTACTAGTTTTTACCTCGCGCTTTGCACACGCTTTTATATTCGAACGTTATATATATATATATATATATATATATATATATATATATATATATATATATATATACACACATATATATATATACATATATATATATAGATACATACATACATACATACATACATACATACATACATACATACATACATACATACATACATACATACATACATACATACATACATACATACATACATACATACATACATATATATATATATATATAGATACATACATACATTCATATATATATATATATATATATATATATATATATATATATATATATATAAAAGTTTCATTAATGGAGAGAGTACAAAAGAATTACTACCTCCGTCCCAGAGTATTTGTCCACTTTCATTTTTACACACCATCCAATAAACTTCTTTAATCCATTTTATCTTGTAATTTGTATATTAAAAAATTATAGAAATTATATATTAATAATCTATATGTTAAGACAAATCAAACAAGATCACACATGACTATATTTAGGCTTACACATTGAGAGAGTTTGATTAGTCAAAGTGCTTAGATGAACAGTTCCAAAAGTCAAAACTGGACGAATACTCTGGGACGAAGGGAGTACAACATAATTCAGCCCAAGAAAATTCAAAAGGAAGAGGGAATTTAAACATTAAACGGGAGGGAAGATTTTAAATGCTTCCCCTTGTGCTAGAAATGGTCCAAACCCCAGCCTTAGAAGTCCTGATCGTAGATAATCCACTTGCAATTTCTGTTAATCCAGCACCAGCTTTGGATCAGCTGGAAGTTCTGCTGCGTAACCGAGATCTGGGAGATGAGCTTCTCTTCATTGAGAGAGGTGTTCCTTGATTTCCAAAGAGACCAAGTGATGATCGCTGGAATGATCAGCCTGAGGATTCCTTTGAAGGATTTTTTATTTCCTGTAAACCACCATGACAGAAGGTGTTGGCGTAGGGTAATGGGTAACCTTAGTAAGGGGCCATCAACCAACCTAGCAAAGAAGTTCTGAATTGCTCTATTGAATTCGCAATTGAGTAGAGAATGATCAAGAGTGTCCTCGTGGCTTTTACAAAAGATACAGATACTTGGAAGATGAAAGTTAAACCTGTCGAGATTTCTGGGGAATGGGAGACAGTTGTAAAGAGCTTTCCACATGAAAGTTCTAAGTTTTTGGGATCTGTGATTTGTGCCATATGTACCTGGCCGTTAGGAGTTCTGTCTGACCCCCAATAAGATTTTGAAAAGCAGACTTTAAGGAGAAAACCCCCCCCATCCCATCTAGGGATATTGTTTATCAAAGACCAATGTTCTCTGGCAAGGTTATCAATCCTGCAAATCCTCTTCCATGTGGGGGAGTCCGTGATTTTTTCCCTCACAAGATTGTCTTTTAGGTATTTGTTTCTCATGTAAGTGGCCTATAATCCATTGTCAGTGTGAATCTTCCACCATAGTTTGATAGAGTAAGCACATTGAGTGGTTTTCAAGTCCCTTATCCCAAGTCCCCCTGCGTGTTTGGGCTGGCACATAAAGTTCCAGCTTTTCTAGTGATATTTGGGGGTACCCTTGTTGCTTCCCCAGAAGAAATTGCTCATGAGAGAGTGGAGGTGAACAATGACACACATGGGTAAAAGGTTAACAGCAAGGTGGTGTAAAGGTATGGAAGAAAGTACATGCTTAATCAAGATTAATCTTCCCATTTGGTTGATGGTTCTGTTGTACCAAGAGGTAAGGTGTTTCTGGAAATGGTCCACCAGATTATTGCAATCTTCTCTTCTAAGGATACCTTTAAAGAGAGTAGCTCCCAAGTATGTGAAGGGTAAATGACCAGTTTTGATGTTTAGTGCCTCCTCCATCTTCTGAATTTGGACGGAATTTGTAGATTTGTTGGTGTAGAATCTGCTTTTGTTGTTGTTCATATCTTGACCAGAGCCTGAGAAGTATTCCTTGAGAATTGCTTTGATTCTTAACAGATTTCTGATGTCACCCTTTGTGAAAATGATGAGATCATCTGCGTAGATGAGGTGACTCACCATAGGTACACTGCCCACTTTAAATCTGCTAATAAAATGAGAAGACATGTGATGGTTAATAAGTCTGCATAACCCTTCCCCTCCAATAATAAAGAGAAGAGGGGATAGGGGGTCGCCCTGTTTTACCCCCCTTTCCATCTTGAAAAAACCAGTGGGTTCCCCATTTATGAGAATATTGATGAAAGTGTTTTTAAGGTTTGCCATGAGAATAGTGATGGACAAATCAGAGAAAACAAAACCCTTGAGGATGTGTTCAAGGTAGCCCCAATCCATCAAGTCTGCGCCAGGTTCTACCTTGACTACGTACTCCTGACCAAGTGAAGATAGAACCTTTGGGTTCTGGACATATAAGCCTACAGTTGTTGATGCAGTTGAGGAAATCCTCGATACTTTGTTGTCTAGGAATACATTTTCCTTTGGATTCCAGGAGTGATGTTATGGCATTGAAATCACCTCCTATTATCCAATTATTCTGCAAGGGCTGATAATTTTGGAGATTGGACCAAAGGGTTTTCCTGCCTGCCTCAGTATGGGAACCATATACTGAGGAAATAACAAAAGAGGTAGAGCTAGAGTCCAAAGAGAATTCACAATGTGTAACTTGTGACTCCTCTTTAGAGGACAGCAGAGTTAGGGTTTGAGCATTCCAAAAGATCCATAGTTTTTTGTTTTGAGACGAAAGGTGATGAGAGAAACCCAGGCTAAGCATATAAGATTGAATATGGGAGGCATGTACTATAGGTTCAATGGTGCATAAGAAATCCAGGTTGTGCTTCCTCTTGAGGAAAATTAATCTGCTGAGGGAGGAAGCAACCCCACAGATGTTCCAAAAAAGAAGCTTCATGGAATAAAAGGGTTGTGAGATACATCTTTAGCAGTTTTACTTCTTGTAACCCTACTACTCGGGGGATCTGTTCCTTGGCTTTTGTGGGTTTTGGGATTGGAAAGGAGACTTGAGAGCAGTTTTTGAGGTCCACTTCCAAAGGAACCAGTTTTCCAATGATGAAAGGCATAGCTTCCTCTTCACAGTGACACAAGATAGGGATATTTTCCACTTCTTGATCCTCTTGCTCAGTATTTTCCCAATTGCAGTCCAGATTTGTGAGAGTCCAATAGTCATCTTTGCTACCGGGAGTTCGCTGGAAAGGTTTCTTATTGTCAAGAGGTGAGTCCAGCTGTGAGACGAAGGGGATGATGTCCATGCAGTGCGTTGGTTTTTCCACCATAAGATAAGAGAGATCTGGGAAGGGGAATTCTTCCACTACCTTGGAAGGAGATGGGTCCAACGAAGAGGGGTCACCACGGACCATGCATATTGAGGAGTGGCTGTTCTTCCTGGATGTTTTCTATGGATGGCATAAATGATTCCTAATCATCAACATTATGGTGAGAATTTGGCCCCACCATAATTTTAGTGGGGTGATGGGTTTCATTATTTCCTTTGTTGGATGTATCCATATGTTTTGAAGGATGGGAAGAATTTTTACGTTGGGCAATGGGCTTGTAAGGAAATGGAGGAGCTGGATGATTGACCTGGCCCACTGGTTGAATGTCACGTTTGTGTTGTCTTCTAGCCTTTACCCATATCCATCCCTCATCTTTCCTCTATGTCCATGCATACCCGCTCCTCCCTGGCCCACCTCACTGGTCGGAGCTGGTTCAGCGAGGTTCTCGTGCAATTTTCTCCGGCATTCAACAGTTCCATGGCCAAATCTTGAACATGAAGAGCAGAAAGGAGTATGGGATTCTTATGTACATGGAAGCCATAGGTCTTTTGCACCTAGGCGAACGTGAATATTAGGATCCTTGGAGGTGGACACATCCAATTCAACACAAAATCTACAGCGGTCTGGCAAAACCCATAAGACGGAGTTGGAGTCAAGCTTAAGGGGTTTTCCTAGAGAACTAGCAATAGTAAAAAGGGAGTTGTGATCATGGAGATGAAGAGGGAGGTTTTTTACCTCAACCCAGATAGGAATTATAGGGCTTTCGAACTAAGAAGAATGATCTGGAGTCCATTTGGTGATGAAAATTGTAGTACCCTTGATGGTCCATCTTCTCCTATGAAACCATCGTAAATAATCTTCTTCATGCTTGAAGATGAAGATTATTTCCTTGGAGGAAAGCCGTCGCAGCTTGAACTCTTTGTATCAACCTTTCATAAGAAAATCCTAAGTTGCCCGTAAGGAAATATGGTTGGGCCGGGGCTTCTTCCCACCACTGTGAAGGCAAAATTCTCAGCAAGTAGCCTCTCTTCTTCCGATGTAAACACTACTGATGGGGCTCCCTTGTAGAAACCACATCTTTGGCATGTGGGAGGGGTGAGGTCTCCCTTGAGAAGATCAGAGAAGAGAGTTTTCCTCGACACGTTTGTATGAGAGGTGATTTTCCCCGGCGGGAAAATCACCGTATCAAGATATACGTAATACCCCGTATCAAGATGGGAATGGGAAAAGCTAAAAAAGGATTGATAATACTAATCATACCAACAAGGTGCATCTTCTTTTCGAGAGCTCATCACCTAGAAACTCCAAGGTTAAGCGTGCTTGACCTGGAGCAATTCTAGGATGGGTGACCCCTGGGAAGTTTTCCTTGGGCGCGCACGAGTGAGGAAAAAGTGTGCGGGAAAGACTAGTGTTTTGTGGGGACAGTCTATAATCCTATGAGCGAACACTTACGGCCAGGGTGGGGGCCGGGGTGTTACAAATGGTATCAGAGCAACTCTGCAACCATGACGGGCCAAAAGAGCTTAGTTCACCTAGCGGGGAAGATCTATGGGTTCAAAAAAAAGGATGCAACGAGGACGTTGCATTCCTAAGTGGGGTGAATGTAATACCCCGTATCAAGATGGGAATGGGAAAATTTCAAAAAGGATTGATAATACTACTCATACCAACAAGGTGCATCTTCTTTTCGAGAGCTCATCATCTAGAAACTCCAAGATTAAGCGTGCTTGACCTGGAGCAATTCTAGGATGGGTGACCCCCTGGGAAGTTTTCCTTGAGCGCGCACGAGTGAGGAAAAAGTGTGCGGGAAAGACTTGTGTTGGTTTGTGGGGACAGTCTACAATCCTATGAGCGAACACTTACGGCCAGGGTGGGGGCCAGGGTGTTACAGTATATATCTATACATACATACATACATACATATATATAATGGCGTCACCTCAGTATTCAGACTCCCCACATCTATCTTTTTCCAATCATGTTCGATGGATGTTATGCCACATCCATCACCTTCATACTCCTGTGTCATTCCTAAGCTAAAAGAAGGCATATCACTTACCACCTCATGATATTTGGCTCTCACCTGTGCTGCCTTCTCAGCTAAATCAACAACAACTATGACCTCTGGACTACTCCAAATTGGATTGTCATCCAAGAGCACGCTCTGAGGTTCCACACTACATGTTTTATCTGCACCATCCTTCTCAACATGTATCCCAATTAACTTACCCCACACATTTTGCATTTTAACAAAGTTGGCACTGCGAGTCACTGTTTTTGGAGCGTCCTGAACCATTGTTATTAGATCAATAACCGTGTTTGCCAGGATGTTGCCTTTTTCGGAAAATTTCCTTACAAGCACCTATAAAAATTAAATTCCTATAAGATTAACATTTCTTAGCTTTGTAATTTTCATCCCATCTTGAAAAAAAGTATATCAAATAAATAAAAACAAGTACACATTTTACCTCCTCGGAATCCTCCACCACCAAGTCCACTGGAGCATCACTTTCGTTTGCACTAGATTCATGTTCCTGTGCATCATCATCCATTGTATTCACCATCACAATCAGTTGTTCTACTCCCAATCTTCCATCATCATGTCCAATCCCAAATCCTCCATCCTTAACTTCTGTATTCTCTCTCTCTCGAAGTGTTTTAGTAGTCCATCCAACTACTGCTGGAAACATCCTTGGTACAGACCTCGTGTCAACAGCAACACGATCCACATAAAACACCTGCATTGAATGTGCAAGACATATGCGTCATACATTATAAAAAGCGCATCATACTAAAATTGTAAATTCATACCAGTAAAAGAAACAGAGGGCCTCCAAAAAAAATTTGATTATTTTTGTCCCACTTTACTTTGTTTTCTATCAGCTTTTAAGCACATATTG